TCTCTCTCTCTCTCTCTCTCTCTCTCTCTCTCTCTCTTTCTCTGTCCTTTTTTAACAACCCAACCCATCACATTCTGAGTCAGAGTTGCTTTCTAATATTCTCCTCTCAGAGCCTCTCAATGTCTCTCTCAAGTTCTCCCCAATCCATAATTTTAGCCTCCCCATCCCAAAACACCCTACCACCATACCTTGGCACACACACATACTCAGATACACAATTGCACACAGAAACAAAAATACAAGCACATAACTGCACACACTAAAATACATAGACTCACAGGCAGCACACAAATGCACAACACACACACACACACACACACACACACACACACACACACACACACACACACACACACACACACACGCGCATACATAACAACATACACCTGCACAAAACAAACCAAAAATACCTGGACACAACTGCACATACTAAAGCACACTGACACACATATGTAAGTGTACACAAATACACACACGCACACACACACACACACACACACACACACACACACACACACACTCGTACAAACACACACCGACATACAAATACACACAAATATACAGGCACACACACATAGCTCACAAACACAAACACACGCACACACACAAACACACACACACACACACACACACACACACACACACACACGCGCGCGCGCGCGCGCGCGCGCGCAGCATCTATTAACTTTTTACTCATTGTGCGTGTACTGATAGTAGTATTCTAAAATTAAACAGTTCTTTCTTCACTTCAGCAAATGACCCGACTTCTATTCATTGTAAACGGGTGTATTTTCATCAAAAGCAAGGCAATTGAGCAATCTTCAAAATGATATATCAATAAGTCCATAAGTATGAGCTAATACTGCCTAGAGTATGATTACACCGCGTCGCGGCACATGTAAGTCAGACATTGTTTTGTCGGCTAAGTACCTCTACAAAGAGTCATTGTATGAGAGATTGATCTAGACCCGGGGGGAAGCAACGTTTTTGATGAGACAGGGCGTGGTCGTGAGCTTGGTCATTGTAAACGAACAATGACAATGAGACTTCATGGTGATATCAGGCGCTCGACAAAAAAATGAATTGGGTCGATCGAGAAGCTGCATTTTCCGCCTGTTGGGCAATGTTTAGTGGGTTTTATATTTGGCGATGGCGGGGTGGGGGGGGGTGAACACCTTTGATATCTATTTAACAACAGATTTCTGACTATAGTACTACTTTACTGAAAAACGCCGAGCAAGGCACTAAAAATGTAAATCTATGGTTTCTAAAGACACTCAAACTTTGAAAATGCCAAGTTTCAACGGCCGTGTACTCGCTAGTTCTAACGTTGACGGCCGGCGACCCTGATTTTCTTTAATCTAGAATTTTGAGTCTTTTTATTTGAGATATATGCGTATTTCTACACCATAATACTATAAAGACAAACGGGCTAACTTTAAGATTAAAACAACACCTCCATTATAAAAAAAATGACGCGCGCCTGATTCCACAGAGGAGTTACTCAAAGTCTCAGAGAGAAGAGACTGATGAACAGAAGACTGGAGCGTGGAGAGTTTAAAAAAAAAATATTATTATAGTTTTTAGTAAAATTTTACGGCGCTTGTAAATGCAAAAATTCATATGAGCGCCAAGGAGTTGGTGACAACAGAGAAGTCCAAGGGGGAATCAGGCTTATTCTGCTAAGCTCTCTAGCCTCAACAGCACAGAACCTGCTTCGACTATTAAGGCACCCCGGAAATAGCGGGTCACGAGAGAGTGACAAACATGCAAAAGAAGAAGAGGGAGAATGACGATAGTAAGGATAAGGTAAGAAAAAGCAGCAGTTCTCCCTGTGTTGTTCCGACACAGTATGAGCATGACATTGATAAATCAGCCCATTTACAGTTCTACTGTGTATAAGAACATTAATATCAGTTGCACTGCCCTGGAAATGGGTTTTGGGAGTTTGAGTAAAGAGAGGCACATAAGCATAATAATTGTCATTTAGAGCTGGAAAAAGTGAGACAGACAGTCATACAGAAACAACAGAGAGAAACTAAAGAATTATGAGCTACGAGTGGGGCACTCCAACACTCCCCAAACTTGGAAGATTTTCCACAGATAATCCGTAAGTGCCAATTTTCACCTGCATACATTGGCATGAGTAACGAGGAAAATACCCTTTGATAAATCTATTTTCAGTTTGGAAGCAAAAGAACTGAATAGCGAACCAAAGAGTAATCACCAATGTCTGTTTCCGATTTGGCACTTTATAAAGAATGCGCGGTAGCACTCGCTTGGCAAATACATTCCTAAATTTACTTTGGCATGGTAAATCACTCCTGGCGAATTTATCTGGGAGGAAAAGAGTTAATGTTATCTCAATGAGCACATTTATGCGTTTTATCACTGCTTTTTAACACGGTAAAACACTGAGAAAGGTGAGGGGAAAATACCACATAAATAACCCAACAATAACATCAACACAAACAAGACGACTTTCATGAAAAATGAGAATCCACGACCACTTTTTATGGGGTCGGCTGTTCTATTTTTAC